GACACCTGTGTGGGTGAGGCTCCTGCACAGAGCCTGGCACACAGTAGGTGCTTAGTAAATGGGAACAAAAAGGGCTTATCCATCTTCTCTTAGAGCCCCCAACTCGGCCACGCCCAATGGACTTGGACCCAAAAACTTCCCTTGAAAGCCTTTTGTATCCTGGGATGGTGACAGAGCGCCTTCTGAGTCCGGCCCGAGGCTGAATCACTATTTGCATTCAGGCAAGTGGGAGACACTCAAGAGGTTTTGTTTTTTTAAATCAAGGATAAGGGTGGAGGTTGAGCCTTGATTCATTCATTGAACTTCCCATGGACAATGTGTTCTTCCCGGTTGAGATTAACTCTCTGATTGATCCGCTCTGATTGATCCACTCACCCGATTGATGATCTAATAATCAACAGGGCCAGTTGGTGTAATATACAAAGAGTATCAGTTAGGAAGTTCATCAACTCAGTGACCAAAGGACAGACTCACAGGGATAGTTCAGGAAATGGCTTTGGAGTATGTAAGAAATGCTCCAATCATGTACATGCAAATTGTAACTAGGAGATCTCACTTTCCCTTATCAGATGGGAAAAGATAAAAAAAATTTGACGATACCCTGCATCCACCAGGTTTTGAGAAGGGCCCCCACCTCCCTGCTGGTAAGTATAATTTAGTTTAACCTCGTTAGAGGACATTTGGACAAATGTGTCAACTTTTTTTTTTTTTTTGGACACACCACATGGCTTTTGGGATCTTAGCTCCCGACCAGGGATTGAACCTGGGCCATCGGCAGTGAGAATGCAGAGTCCTAACCACTGGACCGCCAGGAAATTCCCTCAACATTTTTTGTAACATATCTTTGCACTTCAGGTCAAAGATGTGTGTACAAGACATTCATTGAAATTGCCACCTTGTTTGTAGTAGCAAAAAATTATATTCTAATCTAAATGCCTATCACAAGTCCCCTTGTTAAATAAATTGTGTGATTATGGTATAATCCGTGCAATGAAAAAGTCTGCAGCCCTGCAACAGATGAAGGGAGCTACATGTAATGATATGGAACAACTTTCAAGACTGCAGTATAGTTACTTGGGAGGAAAGCAAGTAGGCTAGCGTATAGGCTCCCATTTGTGTTACATAAAAAAAGGAGGTACATATTATATTCACATATGCATATATCTCCTTGTCTCTATAAAAACCATCTCTGGAAGGTCATACAAGACACTGGTAAAAATATTTAGTTACCTTTGCAGAGGGAAATGGAGATCTGGGATGGAGGGGCGCTTTCTTTTTTGTTTGGTTGAGTTGTAAATCACATTTTTAGTTATCATTCTTTTAGTGGGGGATGGACACCCGTGGAAAATGCAGGCCTTTATTCAAATTTATCTTCTCTCAGAGGCCTTTCCTGGCCGTATTAGATATTCCCAAACTGCTCTCCAAGGCAGCTGTACCAGTTTTCATCCTCGTTGAAGGCGTGTGCATCCGGCCCCACGTGACGGCCAGCAGAGGGCGCCGTAAGGCCGCGCCCCGGGGCGAGAGCGGTGGGCAGGACCGGGCCGGCCGGGTCCGCTGCAGCCCAGCCGCAGAGCCAGTACATTTCCGGCAGGACCTGACACCACAGCATCAAAAGTGTCGCCTCGCCTTCACCTGCAAGGAGGCCGGGACCGTACCTCCAGGAGCTGGCTTGTCGTCCAGGGCCTCGCCTCGCCCAAGCCCCCTCCCACCCCGCTGTCTCCGCCGCCTCTTGGAGGGAGGGTTGTGAGGGTAACCCGGGAGGAGAAACCGCCGGGACAGTTCAATCGGAAGGGAGGGGACAGCCCAGATCTGAGAAAGGCCCCTCCCCCACCTTACACCTCCTCCAGGGCGCAGGTGACCGACCTAAGGAAAATGGAGAGCGGCAGGCCCAGGCAATGGTGTTTTGAGTACCAGCCTCTGGACTCTGCCCATCCCGACATCTCTAGGAGACAGAACACCCACCTTTTACAGTTGAGGAAATTGAGGCTCAGAGAGACTGGGTAACTCGCACAGGGTGACCCAGGAGGAGGAACAGCCAGTAATCAGTCACTCACCAAATACTTGAGCCCCTTGAAGGTAATTGAATAGGGTAATGGAATAAACAGTGACGTTGTGAGTGGGGCAGGGTGCTACTTTGGCTGGGATGATCAGGGAAGCCTCCCTTGAGGTGACATAAAATTTGTGTTAAATATATCATTCTTACCAAAAGTGTTTAAACTGTCTACAGTTTCAAGACTACTAATAAATAGCTTTCTGTGCTTAAAACAACATTATCAAGAACTCTCTAGGAGCACCTTCTCCCCCAGCTAACCACTCTCCAGGATTTTGTATTAAACATTTCCTTGCTTTTCTTTATAGTTTTACCGCCTCCATATACATTCCTAGACAATAAAAGGTTTCGTTTGCTTGATTTTGAACCTTATGTAAATCCAACTTACTGTATGCATTTGAGTTGGTCCTTTTTGCTTAACATTATGCTTTGGAGATTTATCCCTGTTGTTGCATGGAGTTGCAGTTTGTTTTTATTGCTGTATATGTTCCATTATGGGAATGAACCTCACTTTATTAACCCTTTGTACTGTTGATAAACATTAGAACGTTACGGTTGTTTCCACTTTTTTTGTGTTTTGTTTTTGTTTTTGTTTTGCTATTAGGAACCACGGTGCAATGAATATTCTCTTGTTTCTTCTGGGATTAGGGCTGGGCAGCAGTTTTCAACCTTGGCTGCTCACTAGAATCACCTGAGGAGTTTTTTAAAATGCTAATACCAGAGGGTCCCACCCAGACTAATCAAATCAGGATGGCTCTGGGGGTGGGGCCCAGGCTAGGGTGTTCCCTGAGGGAATCTAATCTGCGGCCAGGGCTGAGAACCTCTGGGATGCTGTTGGCCTGGAAGTAGAATTGCTAGGAGGGTCACCTGTTATTAGCTGATGCCAAACTTTTCCGAAGTGGCTTGTACCTATGACACTCTCGCCAGCATGGAACGAAAGTCCTGCTGCCCTCACATCCTCAACACTTGCTAGTGACCAAATTTTAACTTTTTATCTTTCTGATGGTGTGAAATGGTATCTCACTGTGGTTTTAATTTGCATTTCTCTCATTACTAACGAGGCTGAGCAGTTGGTGAAGTTAATGCTGAAACAAAGAAAAGGAGCCAACATGGTGAAGATCTGGGGAGAGAGATTTAGGGGGCAGGGAAGATGAACGGTAGGTGCCAAGGTCCTGTGGTAGGCAAGGGCTGGGATGTGGAGGAACAGAAAGAAGGGGGTGATTATTGTGCAGGGGGAAGGAGGAGAGTGGCTCAAGACAGGATCAGCAGAGGTCAGATCAGCAGGGTGGAGGGCCGTGGTGAAGACTTTGGTTTTTACTCTGGGTGAGATAGGAATATGGGAGGTTTTGAGCAGAGGGACACAGCCTTACTCCTCCCTCTGGATGCATGTGGAAAATCGTGATTGAAAGTAAACAGACGTAGAAGAAGCTATATTCTTCGTAATGACTGTGCATGGCCTGTCTCCCCCACCTTACCCTCCCTTCACCAGTTAGAACATGGTAAGGATTGTCTTGTTCACAGCTGTTATCCCCAGCACCTGATGACCAAAACAGACAGTTGTCCCTGCCCTCATTCTAGGTGGTGAGTGGAGGGACTTACAGGTTTTCATCTTCCTTGCTTCACAGGTGGAAACCCGTGGGCAAGACCTGTGGATTTATTTCCGTGCCACAACCCCACTCCAGGTGGGGCATGGCCATCAAAGTTGGTGGGCTCACAGGAGAGCTGAGGATGAAGTGTCCCTCCCCTGGGCCCACCCCACAATGAATCAGTCAGTGCCTCCCTTGGAGCCCAGCCTTAGGTCCTTTAGACACAGTATTGACGACCCCAGACAAGTGAGGAGACCACCTCAGCCCCACCCTTCCCCACTTCTTTCTCCCACCTGCCCAGAGTACTCTTTCTCAAGCATTCTAAACAGGTCCCTCCTCAGCTGAAAATTCTTCCTTGGCTCCCCAGTGCCCTTGGGGCAAAGTCCAATCTCCTCCAGGCCCTGGAGGCCAGGCAGATCTGACCCATCAGCCCTGCCCACCCCACCCCCAGCCCTGAGAGCTGCTCTCAGTGGCTCTGAAATAGTTACTGATTCTAACCTCAGGCCTTTCCCCTCGGTATTTCTTCACTTCCTCTGGTAAGTGCCCCCCCCCCGACCCCCTGTCAAGTGACCCGCCTCTTGACTGTCACAGTGCCCTGTGGTCTCCCCCCATCAAAGCACACTTCCCTTTGCATTGGAATTGTCTGTTTACTTCGTCTGTCTCCTCCGCCGGACAGGGAGCTACCCTTCGGCAGAGACCTCGAGTGTTTTGTTCAGGGCTGTATCCCCAGCTCCGGTAACAGTGCCTGGCATGTTAGTGGGCACTCAGTAAACACTGAGGGAACGAATGCATTTTTCTAGATGATGCCCGTTTGCTTTGCAAAAAAGGCTGTAGCACTGCAGTCAGCAACCACGTGCAGAAGTCCATTGCTCTTCCCCGTCCCCGAACTGTGTATTGTCCCTTTCATTCCCACGCTCTTTGCGAGTCACCTTCCGGGCGAAGGCACCCCCTTCCCAAACCCGAGGAGGTGGCAGTATCGGAACGTCAGGTGTCCAGACTCGCGGCGCGCGGCGCCAGGGGGCGCCAGAGGCGGGCTACCGTGCCCCGTCGAGCTGGCTGGAGCTCGGGTCCCGAAGGGGGTCCCGCCTAGTCCGGGGCTCCCGGCGCCCCGCCCCCGGCAGCCCGCAGCCGGGTGATGAGTGCAGCCCCGAGGCCCAGAGCCCGAGCGGCCCCTCCCGGCTCCCAGCGCCACGCGGCGCGAGCCCCGCCAGACCCCGGCGCACCTGCTTGGGGCGTGGCCTCCGGCGAAGGCGCGCCTCGATTGGCGCGGAGGTGACAAAGGGGCGTGGCCGTAGTCGGCCCCCGCCCACCCGCGGCTGTCGTACTTAAGGCAGTTGGCGGCCAGACTCCACTCACAGCGCAGCTGCACGGCCTCGCGTGTGGAGGCTTTCGGTATCCCAGCACGACCCGGCTCCCCCCGCTGCTTCAGCCACCATGCCGCGCTCTTTCCTCGTCAGGAAGTCCGCCTGCTCCCGCCGGAGACCCAATTACAGTGAGCTCCACGACTCTTCTCCAGGTGAGTGGACGGGGTGCCGGACCCCAGGGAGTTTGGGGGAGGCAGGCGAAGGCTGCATGGGGGGCACTTGAGAGGCAGGGCCCTTGGGGACAAAATGGAGGGGCCAAAGTCGAGGGGCCAAAGTCGAGTCAAAAGATAACAGTCTGGGTGTGAATAGGCCGGGGCAGGTGGATCCGGGAGATTGGGAGAGGGCTTTTAGAGGCCGGTGGTCTTTGGCTGAGGGGACTAATTAGCCGCCGAGAAGCGGGGCGCCCCGAGAGCACAGAAGTGAGAGGAGGCTGCTTGTGTCTGGATAGACGCCGGCCAGGGGCTGGAAAGAGTCCGGAGTCCACAGGATTTGGGGGAGGGGGTGGGAGAAGAGATGTGTATGGAAGGGGGACAGGGGTGGTGCCTCGGCAGCTGGGGAGATTAGGGGCCAGGGAGCTGGGGGTCTTGCCTCAGGCTGGGGACTTGGGCACTGCAAGAGGAAGGAGACCTGAGAATGACCTCCTTGAGTTGGAGCTGGGGAAGGGGGTGTCCTTCCTGTAAGATCTGGAGGTTGAGGTGGGAGAACCAGGTGACCTGGCTGAGGAGGGGGCTCTGCCAGGGCAGGAACCTGTCTGTCCTGGTCATGAATCTTTTTTATTCATCTACTAAGCATTGAGTGCCAGCCCCACTCAGCCCCTGGCCCACATCAGGCTAATGTTTGCTGACTGACTGAATGATCTAATCCCTGACCTTGCGCTTTTCCCTGTCTCCTCACAGAGTTCACTTTTCAACAGCCCTACGACCAGGCCCACCTGCTGGCAGCCATCCCGCCACCCGAGGTCCTCAATCCCACGGCCTCACTGCCTACGCTCATCTGGGACTCTCTCCTGGCACCCCAAGCCCAGCCGATTGGCTGGGCCTCTCTTCTGCCCCAGGAGATCCCCAAGGCCGTCGAGCTGACCTCCCTGTCTGACGAGGACAGCGGGAAAGGCTCCCAGCCCCCCAGCCCACCCTCACCGGCTCCTTCGTCCTTCTCTTCCACCTCAGCCTCCTCCCTGGAGGCCGAGGGTTATGCTGCCTTCCCAGGCTTGGGCCAGTTGCCCAAGCAGCTGGCTGGGCTCTCCGTGGCCAAGGACCCCCAGTCTCGCAAGGCCTTCAACTGCAAATACTGCAACAAGGAGTACATCAGCCTGGGTGCCCTTAAGATGCACATCAGAAGCCACACGCTGCCTTGCGTCTGTAGCACCTGCGGGAAGGCCTTCTCCAGGCCCTGGCTGCTGCAGGGCCACGTCCGGACCCACACTGGTGAGTACCCCTGCAGGCTGGCTGCCCTTCTCACTGTCCCACTGCTTTTGCTACAAGCTCTTGTAAGATGGGCTTGCTGTTACTTTCAGACTGTGGAAACTGACGCCCCCCACCCAGTCTCCTGACTCCTAGCTCAAGAGTTCAGGGGCCTGGCTCCGAAAAGTTTGGCAGAAACATTCGTTCATTCACCAGCTAAGCAGATGGGCTAAGGAGATAATTTTACACGTCCCTCTGCAGGCTCAGTTCCTCAGCCAAATGGGTTGGAGCTGGGTATGGGAAAGGTGTAACCAGCACCTTGCTGTTGGGGCCAGGTGTGAAGGGGCTCACCCTGCTCCACTTCCCCCACCCGCCCCCCAGCCAGACAGGATGTTTGTCAGACTCCCCACCTGCCTCTGAATCCTGCTTTGGGATCTTCCCAAACTTTGGGCTGCTGTTTCACCTCTCTAAGCCTCAGTACCCGCCTCTGTGAAATGAGCATAGAAACACCTTGTGGGGTTTTTGCTCTGGTCAAATGAAAGAAAGCATACAGAAATCACCTGGGACAGTGCTTGGTACATGATCAGTACACACAAAAATCATAGCTGGTATTCATTCTGCTTCCATGCTGTGTGTCTTTGAGCAAGTGATTTAACGCTCTGAGCCTCTCCGATTATAATATAATCACATAGGGTGGGTTACGATAGCATTTCGTACGGGGCTGTCTAGATTCAGTGGCTCCTTAATCGCTTTATAATATCATCATGGTTCTCAGATCTGCTCTCCCCACCCCCATTCACACTGCTGAATAGATAATCTTAATCCTATCATGCAGACCCGGGAACACGTTTGCTGGCAGAAAACACAATTATGTCTTGGTGTTTCAAAAAATGCAATACTGAATGTGTAGAAAATTATGAAATGGAGACTGTTCTAGTCTTTAGCTTTCTGGAAATGCAGAAAAGATAGCCACTCCACCTTTTCAGAACATGAATGGTGGAGGCCACCCTGCTTGGGGCTGCTCTTTGGAGAGTGTCTGTTGAGGGAGAAGAGGGTTCAAGGGTCATGACTGTTGGTTTTGGGGGTCAGGTTGGCCAGGTTGGAGACTCAGTTCTGGCATTTCCTCATCCGGTGGCTGACCTCTGAGTGAGCCGTGAGGGTCAGTGAGGTGGTTTGTGAAGCCTGGCATTTTGCAGGCATTACTGGTGTCATCGTTACTCCTACGGGGGTGGGGGGCATCCTCCACACCTTGCAGACTGTGGCTACTACCCGTGTCTCTTATCTTGTGCACAAACAGCTCTGATTTTAACATGGAAGGGTCCAATTGCCTGGCCTCTGTCCAGGGTGCCTGCCCAGCTGATGGGGTCTCTATTTGGGGGGAGTGGAAGCCCTCAGATGCTCCCCTGGGCCCCCCAGCTTCTTTCCCCTCCCACTCGGACATTATTTTAATGTAAAGGCATGGCTCAGACACAAAAAGCCTGTTGAAATGCACCAGTGCCATCCTCGTCAACTCCCATTGTGTGCCTTAATGGTGCGCCCAGGGGGCGGGGCTGGGGGTGGAGCAGGTGCACGGGGCAGCGGTGCCCAGCACCTGTTCCAGGCCGCAGCTGCTGGCCCGCAGTGTGTCAGGCCGCGTTAATCCAGGGAGTATTGCATGTACACTGCCCCCCTCGGCGGCCTTTGTCCCGCCGGTCTGGTGCCGATTTCACACTCCAGGAGCACCATAAAGACGTGGCTGGGGTGGGGAGGGGGAATCCGCGAGGGGTGGAGGTCTGCTGCCTCCTGCTGCACCCCTCACATCCCATCAAGCCTGCCCCTTTGTTCAGGTTTGTGTCTAATCATAAGAAACATAAAGATAACGTTCACTGAGCACTTGGCAGTGCGGGAGGCGGGGGAAGGCGTGATGCTCAGGGCTTCCTTCACTTGTGTCAAGGCGGTAAATCCACCAACAGTCCTAAGAGAGAGGTGCCATCATAACCCCCATCTTACAGGTGTGGAAACTGAGGCATAGAGAAGGAAGTCACTTTCCCAAGTCACAGCCCATGGGCTGGAGCCAGGGCTCCTTCACCTTGGCCAAGGGGGTGAGGGGGCAGTGGGGATTACAGGACTCCATCCCCTTTTCCAGACCTGCATAGCGTGGGCCCTGAGTTCACAAAGGAGTGTGTGAGTGAGGAGGAAGTTCCCTTGGACCTTGTAGACTGCGGTCATCAAACCCTTCCGGCCTGGTGTGCAGAGGCAGCTCAATACGGCAGAGCAGGTCACTCAGGTGTCCCTTCCCCAATCCTCTGGCCAGGTCCCCGCTCTCTGCCCCAGGAGACTGAGCCCATGAACGTGGTTCCACAGTGGGCCGCAGGCATCTGACTTCTAGACCCCGCCCTCCCTGCTCAGCTAGTGCCCCAGGCACCCAGGAGGCTGCTGGAATTCATTCATTCCCAGCTCTCAATTCCAGCACTGGGATTTAACTAGAGGGCCTTGGCCTAGGGGCGTATAAGGCTGGGAATGGAAGGATAGGAGAATGTAGTTTCTTCTGGAAAAGACTATTCAGTATTACAGAATAGTGCCGGGCCTGTGGTAGGAGCCTGAGTAGTATTTGTGTAATGCATTACTCTTCTGACTTTATTTGGGAAATGCTGCAGCCCCAGGAAAAAGCAAAACACAGCATTTGACGTTTCTGGAATGTGAGTTACAGTCTCTTGATTGGGGCAGGAATTATGAAAAGTTGGTGAATGGTGTTTTCTGGTGGTGATTGAGGAGTCAGGCTCTTCTGAGACCTTTATAAAAAAAGACTTATTGTTGTACAAGCATTTATTGAGTTCTCACTGTGTACCCAGCCCCGAGTGCAAGACTCTTCTCAATACAGCCTGGCCAGGCAGGTGAATGAGGGCCACAGGTAGGGTTTTTTAAAAAAAATAAGTCATAAGGTAAAAGGTTTCTGTAGCCTCTTGGGGGTTCTGGGCCTTGGGCTGGAAGCTTGGAATGGATTCGGTGTCGGTGGCGGGGGGGATCCTGCCCTCATGGGACTCAGTCTGATTGGGGGACGAACAGACTTGAAACTACCCTGAGTGTGATCCGAGTTGATGGGGAAGCAGGATAAAGGAGTGACCTGCTGGGGGATAGGGGTGGGCTGGGGCTTTAAGGCTGGCTCTTAAGCTTTGTCCCCAAGAGGAAGTAAATCCAGGGGTTAATAAGGAACATCCATTACAGCCCCCTTAACTGAGGGGCAGTCTGTGTAGTGCTTAAAATCAAGGGCGCTGGGCTTCCCTGGTGGCGCAGCAGTTGGGAGTCCGCCTGCCAATGCAGGGGACACGGGTTCGATCCCTGGTCCAGGAAGATCCCACATGCTGTGGAGCAACTAGGCCCGTGCGCCACAACTACTGAGCCTGCGCTCTAGAGCCCGCGAGCCACAACTACTGAAGCCCCTGCGCCTAGAGCCCGTGCTCCGCAACAAGAGAAGCCACCACAATGAGAAGCCCGTGCACCGCAACGAAGAGTAGCCCCCACTCGCTGCAACTAGAGAAAAGCCCACGTGCAGCAATGAAGACCCAAAAACAGCCAATAAATAAATAATAAATTCTTAAAAAAAAAAAAAAAATCAAGGGCACTGGAGTCGGGCTATTTGGTCTTGCTGAGATGCTGCATATTCCCTGTGCCTCAGATTCACCATCTCTAAACTCAGGACAAAGGTGGGGTTAAATGAGATAGTGTAAAATGCTTCCACTGTCCCTAGCACAAAGTGTTCAGCAAACACAGCTGCCATCACTGTCATCATTGTTGAGCACTTCCTGCTGGCAGGGCAGGAAAAGTACTTGATTCAACCTTCTCTCAATTACCAGCCTCTATGAGTCGGGGATGAACAGCTCCATTTTACAGATGAGCAAATGGAGGCTCAAGAGAAGCCAGCTGACTTGCTCAGGGCCACACGGTGGGAAGCAGCAGCGCTCCCTGCCAAATCCAGGCCTTTGGACACTGTATGGCCTGGCTTTTCTGGGTCGCAGGAGTTCCTCAAGGTTGGAGTGAGCCGGGGGTGGGTGGGGATTTCAGTAGACGTCAGCTGTTCTCCCAAGTGGCTGAGTCTCACTCAGCTCCCTCCTGTCTTCTCTCCCCAGGCGAAAAGCCCTTCTCCTGCCCCCACTGCAGCCGCGCCTTCGCTGACCGCTCCAACCTGCGGGCCCATCTCCAGACCCACTCGGATGTCAAAAAGTACCAGTGCAAGACATGCTCCAGAACCTTCTCCCGAATGTCCCTGCTCCACAAGCACCAAGAGTCAGGCTGCTCAGGGGGGCCCCGCTGACTCTAAAGGCTCCTTGCACCTCTCCGGGCCCTACCCCAACTCCAGAAGGAAGGACCCGGCATCCTTCTCGCTGCCACAGAGTTCCCTCCTGAGCTCCGCCTTCTGGCTGCGTTGGCCCCCCAGGACTCTGAGGATCATTTCCCAGTCCTCTGCTCTGAGCGCCTCACCGGGCTCTGAGGGGCGCCTTTCTTTGGACAGCTGATGGGAGGGTGGCTTGCAGCAGAGACCCCTTCCTGGCAGCCGCTGCTCCAGAGTGTTCTGGAGTTGGCCTTTCTGCGTGGGTTTGTGTATCCAGAGCTGTTTGGATACAGCTGCTTTGAGCTCCAGGACAAAAGCCAGCAGACTGATGAGAAGCTCCCACCCCACTCAGGGGACCCCAGCCTCCCCTACAGGAACCCTCAGGCCACCCCCTCCAGAAGGTGCAACTAACTATGCAAACATCCACCCCCAGGTGCACTCGCGGGGGTGGTCCCTGACACAAGGACAGCGTCTAGACCCCAGGATGCCCAGGGCCTGGGCAGCTATTTCAGCCTCCTGTTTGTCATGGTGGCACCTGTTTCATGGGCAATTTAACAACGTCTCCAAAGGGACTGTGAATAATTGCCTTCACTTGTCCGGGGCCCAAATGGGGTGCTTCGGCTCCACTGATGTGTCTCCCGGAACTATTTTCGGGGGCCCGACAGGTGGGCCCGGGAGGAAGATGTTTACATTTTTAAAGGTACACTGGTATTTATATTGCAAGCGACATTTTGTACTAAGGAAACGTTTTGTATAGTTATATGTACGGTTTATTGATATTCAATAAAGTGGTTAATTTATATATTAAAAAGTCTACTTGGTTTTATGTGGAATGGGTATTTTAAAGGGCCTTTAGGGAGGGAGGAGGGGGGCAGGGATTTGTGGAGCTCGGATACTCCTGACACAGCCTTAAATCTTGGCCTCTTAAACATCACATGGCTTTGGACCTCTGGGTTTGTCAGGGACCTTGTTTGTGCAGATGGGTTTTCCTCGGAGCCTGGATGTCCTGTCCGATACGGAGGTTGGGAAACACCTGTGGGCCAGTGAGCAGTAGAGCTGTGTGTGCAGGTTTCTACACTGCGGCCCTTACTCATTCTCTCGTGCTCCCGTTTTGAAGCCGACCAGGCCCACAGGGTGAGAAGCCAGCTCCCTGGGTCTTATCAACTAGGCCTGCTGTGGGGCCTTCCCCAGCACTGCAGGTCTTTTGGGGAGGGAGCGGTTGCTGCCCCCAGATGAGGGAGTGGAATGCGATGAGTAAGAAGGGGACAGAGGACGTCCTTCCTGTTTCCAGGGGCTCCAGGCCCCGCTCCGGTCTCCCTGTCAGACCCACACCTCTGTCTGGCCTCTGGGTACCAAATGGCCTTTGATGCAAGGAAATTGGCTGGCTGGAGTCGGGAGGGTGAGAAGCCAGGCCAAAGGGTAGGGGTCATTCTGCTTCCTGCTCGAGGACAGGACAGGACGGGAAGACGGTCAGCTTGCGTCCCGTCCCGGGCTGAGCTAATTCACTCACGGCAGGCTGTCATGGTGACCTCACCTCTGGGGCCCTCCTGGGGCCAGGAGAAAATGAGTGTCCTTTTTGAGCACAAAAGGTGCCGAAGGTGCCAGTTTCCTGCGGGGAGCTGAGCGGGCGTCCCAGAGCCCCAGAGTCAGGCAGGGGGCGGGGGAGCTTCGTGTTCCAAAGGAGAGATGATTCTTTCTTCTAAACAGGAAATGGTGACCCACAGGCCAGGAGCAGCCCTTAATGACTTGCAGCTTTCCTCCCAAAAGAAAAAAAAAACTTCTCTAACAATCGCCAAATTGTAGCTGGCCTCCCTGAAGGGAAGTTAGGGAGTCGGAGGGGGGCTGGGGGGCTGGGGGTTTGGGCGTCAATTTGCTGACGGCCTACTGTGTCCCACGTCCCTGGGTGTCATACATCCACCCGTAGTAGGTGCTGACATTGATGGTGAATGTATAATTGATTTCACACACTCCCAGAGGGATGGGCCTCGTGGAAACTCCCAGCTGGCATTCAACATGGGTGCACGAGGCTCCGATCATTCTGGGAGTCAGGTACCAGGCTCATGCCCTTGGCTTGCAAGACCTTGGAGCAAGGCTCTCCGCCTCTCGGACCCCCAGTTGCTGCCTCTAAAATAGGGTGATGACGGCGCCTTCCTCCCCAGAGACTGTAAAGGGATGTCCATCCAATCGGTTTTGATGAGCCCCGTGTGTGCCAGGCCCTGTTCTAGGCCCCGGGGGTTACAGCCCTGAACAGAGAGACAGTCCCTGCACTCAGGGAACTAATGTTTTAGCAGGGGAGACAGAAAACAAACGAGTGATTAAATAAGCCGCTTTCCTACAGTGATGTGCCAAGATGGAATTAAAGAGAGCGCCTACTAGAGAGCAATGGGGTAGGGCACCCTCCGACAAGGCGGGAGAGCTGCAGCCCAGCGCCCATTCTAACGGAGACCTGGAGGAGGAGAGAGCTCCAGCCTCTCAAGGAAGCAGCAAGTGCAAAGGCTCTGGGGCTGGAATAAGCTTGCCACGATGCCGAAAAAGACCAGGGTGGCAGAGAGTCTGGGGGGACCAGGTGGGATTGATGAGCTGGTCCAGATCCTGCAGCACTTGTGCAGGTGGCCAGGAGTTCTATTTTGTTGAGCCCAGAGGACAGCCACAGGGACATTTTAAGCAGGGGAGCCATGAAGCCTGCTTTACTTTTGCACTGATTCCCCCCATCCTGGTGGAGAATGGAGTTAGCCACGTCAGAGCTGGGAGCCAGTGAAAGGCCCAAGGCAGAGGGATGACTGCTGGCCTGGCCCAGAGGGGTGGAGGCCTCGGGGTATGGTTGGATTGAAGAATCTGTGGCAGCTGCGCCTCCAGCCCTGTGCCAGGCACACCTGAGCGCTGGTGAGTGCGAGTTACTAGGGATTATTTAAAGGAGATGTTGGACCCGGTAGCGGGGTGGGGATAAAAAGAAGGATGGTTCCTGTGTTCTGATGTGGACAAGCCCCCCACTCAGCCACATTTAGCTAAGTGAGAAAAATAACATGCAGACCATGCTCCCTTTTGGGGGAAGAAGGGTGGAATTGAGCATGCTATTCATTCTTGTTTGTATTTGCATACAGAAACTCTGGAAGGATTTACAATAAAACAATCAAAGCCATCTCTAGGCAGGTGCAGGGGTAGAATGGGGTAGATGGAGGTGGGCAGGAGAGAGCAGGGAGCCAGGTTTTTTAGATTTCTTTAAAACTTCTGATTTTGTCATAGTTTCAACCTGACAGAAAAGTTGCAAGAAAAGTACAATAAACTGGAATCTTTTGATCGGCATCTTATCAAATGCAAGTCTGCATTTTCTCTCTCAATATACGCACATACACATACCCACTTTTTTTTTTTTTTTTTGTGGTACGGGGGCCTCTCACTGTTGTGGCCTCTCCCGTTGCGGAGCACAGTCTCTGGATGTGCAGGCTCAGCGGCCATGGCTCACGGGCCCAGCCACTCCATGGCATGTGGGATATTCCCGGACCGGGGCACGAACCCGTGTCCCCTGCATCGGCAGGCGGACTCTCAACCACTGCGCCACCAGGGAAGCCCACTTTTTTTTTTTTTTTGGAACCATTTGAGAGTAAGTTGTAGGCATGATGCCCCTTTACCACGAAGTATTTCAGTGGGTATTTCTTAAGGATAAGAACGTTCTTTCATATGACCACAGTTCAATGATCAAAATCGGGAAATTTAGCGTTGGTGCAATGCTATTATCCAATCCACAGTCATAATCAAGTTTCCCCAACTGCCCCAGTGATGCCCTCCATAGCACTTTAGGGGGTGGGGAGAGATCCAGATCCCACGTTACATTTACTTGTCCTCTTTAGTCTCCCTTATTCTGAAACAGCTCCTTCCTTGGTCTTTTGTGAGTCTGACTTTTTTTTTTAAATAACTTTATTTATTTATTTTTGGCTGCATTGGATCTTCGTTGCTGTGCGCACGCTTTCGCTAGTTGTGGCGGGCAGGGGCTAGTCTTCATTGCAGTGTGTGGGCTTCTCATTGCGGTGGCTTCTCTTGTTGCGGAGACCAGGCTCTGGGGCCTGCGGGCTTCAGTAGTGTGGCATGTGGGCTCAGTAGCTGTGGCTTGCGGGTTCAGTAGTTGTGGCGCATGGGTTTAGTTGCTCCGCAGCATGTGGGATCTTCCCAGACCAGGGCTCGAACTTGTGTCCCCTGCATTGGCAGGCGGATTCTTAACCACTGTGCCACCAGGGAAGCCCCTGTGACTCTGATATTTTTGAAGAGTTCAGGCCAGGTATTTTATAGAACGTCCCCCAGTTTGGATTTTCCCAATGCTTCCTCATGATGAGATCTGAGCTGTGCACTTTAGGCAGAACCACAGCGGTGGGGCTGTATCCTTCTCAGTGCAACGTATCATGGGGCACATGACGTCAGTTTGTCCCATTCCTGGTGACGTCAACTTTGACCACTTGGTTAAGGTGGTGTCTGCCAGGTTTCGCCTGGATAAAGTCCCTCTTTTTCCCCTTTTGTACTTAATCCGTATCTTGTGGGGAGACCTTCCAAGGCCATGTGAATATCATGTTACTCCTCAAACTTCCACTCACGAGGTTTAGCCCTCGCTTGTGTTTTCTGCCTAAATCAATTATTATTATGGTGGTTGCCAAATGGTGATTTTTCTAGCTCCATCATTCCTTCTATTTTTACTGGTTTGCTTTCTACTGTAGGGAAGAACTACCCTCCTCTGTCTGGGCAGCAGCTCAGAGCTGTGGGTTGGGAGAGATTGGGTGGGGAGGAGAAGGGTCTGGCCAGGCCCTTAGATCCTCCCCTGGGTTTTTCTTTAAAACGAGTCCAGGAAATAAACTGGCTGTAAAGCTGGTCTCCGTGCAAGTGTCCAGGCAGGCAGGTCTGGGGCCAGGGCCACCTCTGGGCACATCTGGGCCCCATTAGTGATCCGGTGGCTTACTCATGGATGTCCCTTGAGCTGAGATGGGGGGGGTGCTCTGGCGAGCAGGGATCTGGGTCCTCCTTGCTCTTTTTTGCTTTCAAATTGTCAATTTCACAAATGTTAGGAAAATTTATTCTTTCATTAAAAAAGAAAAAATGAAAAGATTAGATGTGAGGCTCAAGTGATATGTGATCAACACACCCTGTCCTGATGCCTTTACTGTCTCCAGCATGCTGTACCGCTGTGAAGGGCTTAGTTTATATCTTCTAGATTAAAACAATAAATATTTACATGCACATGTGGCTCCAATCTCACTCACAGGAAAAGCCAAAGTCCTCACCTTGGCCCACAGGGGCCTGCACGATCCGGCCCCATCACCTCTGCCTCATCCCCTTCCCTACCCCCCTCACTTCCTCCAGTCACGAGGGGTCCTCTGCCACCTCAGGGCCTTTGCACTTGCTGTTCCTCTGCCAAGAAGACTCAGCCCCCAGAGAAGCTCACGTGGCTGGTCTCCCCCACCATCCCTCTTCCCTTTACATCCCAGCCCCCATGCCCTGCCCTGTTTTGTTTTGTTTTGTTTTCTCCATAGCACTTGTCACCATCCAACAATCCATATATTTCACTATCCACAGTTTCTCTGTTGACTGTCTTCCCCACTGGAATGGCAGCTCCACGCAGGTGGAAATTTTGTCTGCTTTGTTCATAGTCCAGTCTCCCGGTGCCTCAAGTCTCTCTCACAGGAGGAGCCCACTCAGTAAAACTTTGCTAAATGAATGATGAAAGAATATATGTGTGCCCCTAGGAAGTACAACGTTGTCACCATTCTTATGGGGCACTTTCTATGTGCCAGGCCCTGTGCCGAGTGCCTCGTATAGATT